CGGTGAGATTAGAACCACTGAACTGCAGATAACAGTCAGCTGAAGTGGCCTGCAGTACTGCACCCTAACCACTGCGCCACCTCGGCTCTTAGGATATGGCAGCCTTCCCCAAACTAATATGCTTCTGATATCTGGCATGATAACTCCTATCAACTCCAGCCAGAATGACCATCTGACATGGAAAGTCAAAAACCACAGTTATACCTGACTTTGAGTAAATGACTCTCTATTCTTCTCTTCAGTGCCTCTGCCCTCTTTGGGTTTCCCAGATAAGCAGGAATCACACCTCCATGTCCCACTGATGAGTGTTCCAAGGCAGAAAGACAGGTGGATAATCAAATACACAAAGGAAAAAGAAGGAAAAATAAATTAACAAGCTTCTTAAATCTTATATATAATCTGTTTCTTTCATGCAAAGTAGTTACTGGCTGAAAATATTTTGCTTTCTCCCTTAATCCACATTTTTTTGAGGTAGTTCTCAGTTGAATCGCATTCAGCAGTGCTATAAGGATAGCATTCTCCATTATATTTAACCTAGGGTCTCACAATGCACATGGAATTATATCTATCAATATATGTTGCTGCTGCTCTCCGTACACAATGCCTGCTATTCATACTGAGCATCAGATTCTGCCCAGTTAGACCTTCCTCCTACACACACTGATTTTAGTGCTGCTCTCTTATCCTTAAAATGACACAAAACAATGCATAACATTGTTGTCATGTCTTACTCTTTTACAGGGGTAGGGAGAAGTGGGATGATTGTAAATATAAGGCAAATGACAGAAAAAGCTCCATTTAGTTCCTTTCATTATTTTCTGGAGTGAAATAAGTGTGGGTAGGGCAAAAGAGTCAGATGTTGACATGAGCAACTATAGACACAAAATAAGTATATAAAGGCAGAAATATATTTTAGAATATTTTGTTTCAGCATAATTGCACAAAAATGTTTCTTCTTTTTGCCACATAAAATATTGGAGCAGTATTTTCCTTTTCTCTCCCCATGGTGGATGCCCAAAGAAAAGTTTATGTCAGAAACAGGGAGAAGCAGGAAGAAAGGGGATAATGAATGTGAAAGAAATCAAGATGCTAATGGAAATGGCAAATCCAGGGAGAAAATGGCTGCAGCAGAGGCTGGGAGATTGTGGCTAGACTTCCCAACATTTCCTAAACACACTTCTGATATCATATACAACAGGGCAGCTGATCTAATCTCTAACAAGCATGACAAAATGTACAGATTTTATACTTCTTGAAGCCATGATGTAATAGCACTGACTTAAGCAAAAAAAAAATTTTAAAACTTGTACACTTATTATGATCTTAAGCTGTTTTATTCATGGCCTGGAGATAAGGCAAGGGCAGCATCATGAAGATAATGAGTGAATATTGATGTTTCTGGAGCATAACTGGAAGACAGTTATTGAAGCAGCCCCAGGGCAGTAATGGAAGAAGCATATCCAGATGGCAGGTTTCAGCAAATAAATAAATAAATCTATTAGGACATTAACCACTACTTCTTCTAAAATGTAAACAGTTCAATGGCATTATCTCTGTACCTGATACATTACCGCTTTACAGTTGATCAATAGCTTATCATTCTTCATGTCTAGTATTTGTTCCTTATTCTTTGTTTACAAATGGTTCTGTCATTCAATAATCCTGTTTGTAAAGAGCTCAGTCTCTTTATAGACCTTTATAACACTTATTTGCTTCTATTAGATTTCTCTCATTATTATTGTTCAGCAGTTCTACCTTAACTGTACATTTTCTTGCAATATTTCTAATTTTTTAATAAAATATTTCATTTACTTATCTATGGAGATTCTCAGTCATCCAGGTCATGGTTATTCTAAAGGTGTTTTTTTTTTCCAAAAGGCAACTTTCTTGTTTTTTTTCTCTCAAAACATTTCTCACCTAAGAAGCTTCTTGGAGGAGAAACAAAATGTTTTCAAAGAAAAAAACCAAGAAAGTCCAGCTGTCTTTTGAAAAAAACACCTTTGAGATATCTCATTTTCTTTTTCTTGCTATTTTCTTCTCTTTGTTGATTTTCTTGATTGAGATTTCTTCCTATGTCTGGTACATAGGCAATATTTAAACATACATTAAATATGTCACACAACCATTTCATAAGCATACCTCATCCATATTTTAACATTCCTCAAGTTAAAGCACACTATGTATGCCTGCAAATCTTCACAATAAAGATCAGAGTAGTTAAAGCAATGCCTTTCCCAATGGCAATGTATAGCTGGAAAACTGAAAAAGAACCACTGCCATAAATAAATATCTTCAAATTATGGATTTGAAATGTGGTCTGCAAAAACAACGCACAATAAATTGTTCCTGGGAAAAATAAAGAATGGCTATTGCACTGAAGTTTTCTAAACAGATACTCAGAAACTTGGGCTTATGATGCCAATAGATAATGGACACTAGAATGCCAGGCAAGGTTAAGCAAAGTGAAAGAAAGGAAGACAATGGATAAGGTGGTTAGTTGCAACCAAGTCTATCAGTGAAATATTCCTGTAAGAAATGCCAATTTTTCTCAAAGTGCCAGTGAAGACAGATTGAGATGGAGAATATTTTTACAGATCTCAAAAGTTGTGTCTGACTTGAAGATACACTATATTGCCAAAAGTATTCTCTCACCTGCCTTTACTTGCATATGAACTAACTGTAAGTGACATCCCATTCCTAATTCATAGGGTTCAATATGACGTCGGTCCTCCCTTTGCAGCTATAACAGATTCAACTCTTCTGGGAAGGCTGTCCACAAGGTTTAGGAGTGTGTTTATGGGAATTTTTGACCATTCTTCCAGAAGCGCATTTGTGAGGTCACACACTGATGTTGGATGAGTTTACGTGGCCTACCACTTCGTGGCTGAGTTGCTGTCGTTCCCAAACACTTCCATGTTCTTATAATACAGCTGACAGTTGACTGTGGAATATTTAGGAGCGAGGAAATTTCACAACTGGATTTGTTGCACAGGTGGCATCCTATCACAGTTCCACGCTGGAATTCACTGAGCTCCTGAGAGCGACCCATTCTTTCACAAATGTTTGTAAAAACAGTCTGCATGCCTAGATACTTGATTTTATACACCTGTGGCCATGGAAGTGATTGGAACACCTGATTCTGATTATTTGGATGGCTGAGCGAATATGTTTGGCAATATAGTGTACCTTAGATATAAACAATGTATATAGCTATATCTAATAATGTACATCTATCTTTTTCACAATTATTCATTTTTTACTTTGAGAAGGTATTGATAACTGTAATTTTTTTTAAAATTATAACCCAGATGCTTGTCATCTTTTATTTGTTAAATAATAAAAACAAAAACCCTTCTATAGCCTGCACCCTAAAGTTAATTACAAAACTCAGTGAGAACATGCTACGTAAGATTACAAAACTCAGTTAAGGAATTAATTGTAAAGGCTACAAAGAACCATAATCACACAAGATAGCAAATGGCTATAAATCTGTACCCAAGGCTATATTCAATTTTAGATGGATAAAAGTTGTTTTTACCTTGGAATTTCTGTCAGCGGTGGTATAAGGCAACCAAGATGAAAAGCCTTAGGGCATCCATCACAACAGATCAGCTCTCCACCATCCCTACAGATGGCACATTCATCATCGTTCTTCTAGCCAGCAAAATTGTGGAATGATTAAAACAAAAGAACATTATAATTTAAACCAATTTCTTTGCATATGGCCGAAGTTGCTTTTGTCAATCTTATTAAATCACCAGACCTTTGTTAAAATTATAATTTCTCAGTTTATTTTGACCAGTAACCTATTTTAAAGATCTTCAAGATCCATGAAGGCTTATTTAATAATAGGCTTACAGTCTTCCAGAAGATCAGTATACAAATGTTTATAAAAACCTGTATAATGCCTGATGTTTTGTAAAGCCTGAGTCAGATTTTGCAGAAATTGGGTGTCCGGTTTCTTTTGTAATCCAAGCCAAAGCATCCAGGGAGGGCAGTGAATATTGACCAAATGGCAAGGGCATCCTCAGCACGCCAACAGAAGTTCACTAGATGCAAGCTCTTGACAGCAGCAGCATCAAAATCATGAATAAGATGTCCTAATCTCATTCATACTTGTGAGAGAAGATGGAGAATACTGTTTTAAAATTGGAACAACTAAAGACAAATTTAGGCTCCCTCCAACTTGGACTGGGAGTGAGACAAAAACTGCACTGTGAAGACACACCCTGTAAAAACAGGGAGGTGTCTCCAAGCATAGTTAACAGGTCATACAGAGCCCTGAATCTCTGAAAGCCTTGCTGATTATCTCTACTCAGAGAGAAGCGTAAATCTAAAAATAATTCAGGTGAGAAAGAGGGTAATTATACACTTTGAAATACTTGGGGAATTCCATCTTGATAGAAATGGCACATCATCTAAGAAGGAGGGGGGAAAAAACATCATAGCCAAACCCACATCTTTGAATCTGACACCAGTTTAAGGAGATAAAGAAAACTGGGACTTCCCACTCGGATGGATTCAGCAAGTTATATGTTGGGCACATACTAGGGAAAAAGCTAGGAAAAAGCTAGACTATTAACTATTAGTAACACACAGGACAACTCCCATCATGTCCCCACTTGTTCCTATCACAGGAAAGTTTATAGAAAATTTTCATTTATGTTAGAATATTGTCATATGCACATAGTTCATGACTTACGACCATAATGGAGCCCAGACTTTCAATTGTAAGTCATCAAGGTCATAATACAAGGCATTCACATGATCAGACTCAATTTTATGACTTTTTTTGCAGCATTTTTAAGCAAATGCCTTGATTGTTAAGTGAATCATCATATTCCTAGAGGCATTTTTTGCCAGAAATCAGTCAAAAAGATCAGAAATCTGCAAAAAAAAATTTTTTTCATAAATCACAGTCATATGTGTATCTCAGGGGTGGGTTGCTGCCGGTTTTACTACCTGCGTGCAATGCAAGCGTGCACGTTCAATGTAAATTGTTCTTCGCGCATGCACGGAACAATTTACAGTGAACTGTGCAGGCGCAGTCACTAAAAACCAAAATGGCGGCAACCCAGCGGCAGCAAGGGAACTGGTTTGGGGGCGTAGCAGGCCTGGGTCTCTGCCAGTTCTGCGACCAAGACCTGAATTCGGTTTGGCCAAACCGGGAGCAACCCACTTCTGAAGTATCTGTTTCTTGCATGTGGAACCAGTATGAAAATGTTTTTCTTGCTATTGTTCATTTTGAATAGTCATGTTCACATACTCACTTTCAGTTGCTAGTTTTGCTTCTTAATATAGATTGGCAGATGCATGCAATACTTGTTGAAAAGTACTTTTCTATTGGTGCTATATAAATAAGACTAATAGAAGCTCTTGGATTTCCTATTTATCTCCACGATGAAGACTCTATGGTCACCATAACCTTGACTCTAAACAGAGAAACTAGCCCAACATAGATTGCTCTTCACTACTAAAGATCCAAAGAGAATAAGAATTGATAATAGTATGTGAGTATACATATTCAGAAACCTGGAGTTCTTTGTTATTCATGCTGGGCTTCTTTTCATAAACTTTGTTTTCTCCGAGTTCTTCTGACATGCTTGATGTATAACATTCATCCCCAACTTTAACAAATTTCTTAGCATTGCCTGGAAAAAGACATATTTGACATCTTTGGAACTGTGTCTTTCCTATGAGATAATTTAACCTTAGCTGCAACTGGAATATTGAACCAAATTAACTTTTTCAAACAATGTAATGTAAAGTATAATTATCTCTTCTGCATGTGCCCAGCGGTGCAAAATAACTTTGATATAGATTTTACAACAAAGCAAGAAAGACGTTTAACACAATATGGAGAATATCATTGTACCAATGTTTAAGTGGCACTAAAACAGAATGAAGCACTTTGAAAGCTGTGTTCGATTCTTGACTGTTCAGTAGATTCCCACCTTTATGCCTCAGATCCCCATATGCAAAAATGAGATCTACTTATATACCATTTTAAAATGCTATTGTAACAAATGATCAAGTTAACATTCCCTTGGAAATTCTTCAACTTGACATTGAAATTGTCTATTATTTCTGTTTGAAGATTTTTTTCTAACATATTGTTCAAAAGAAACAATCAACAAGCCAAAAGGGGAATAAATAAACCAAAATACCTCCAACACCAGCAATCAATACCCACATGTGCATAGATTAACATTACGCATAATCAAGAAGTGACAAAAATAAATTGCCAAACAAGCTAATAGTAAACAGCCCAGACAAAGAACCTCCAAGACCACTCCCACTCCCACCAACACCAACAGGGCAAACCACTAGAATAGAAATTGAGAGCCAACCCCACTCCATACTAGCACTGATGATGTCACCTAGTTTGGATAATAAAACATCTGCAAGAAAACAAACCTCAGGACCTCTAATTTCAATACTGAAATATTCTCCTTATCAGTTTCTTTTATCAATCATGTTTGATTCTTGGACACTGTCAGTAAAAGTCCCTTCAATTTTCTTGGCAAGATTTTTCAGAAATGGTTTGCCATTGCCTTCTTCTCAGGGCAAAGCCAAGGTCACCCAGCTGGTTTTGTGCCTAAGGTGGGGCTAGAAATGCTCTCAAGTTTTTAGCTTGAGACTGTAGCCATTACATTAACTGGCTCCTTGAAGAGAATAGTGAGTGATTAGAATGTTCTTTAAATTGGGTAGGAGAATTGTGGAGAAATGGCTGCAGATAATATTGAACGAATGATTTGATTTTTCTTATTTGAATCTTATAATTAATCAGTTTTCTTACATGCAAAGAGTAGACTTAAATGAAATCATCAAAAGGCAGCTTTGATCAACTGCTAATGAGAATTTCATTCAGTAAAAGTTATTAAGTAGCCTTTCATGACATTACATTAGGTTGAAATGTAATATATTATTTGTTTAGCCATGCCCTCTGGCTAAACAAATAATTTGTATGCTGAACAATACCTTAGCCACCCAGAATTCTAAATAAGAAGAATGACTTGGGATCATATCTGAGTGAGCAATACATCAAGGCATAGTATAAAAATAATATTGGATAATTAGTCAATGACTAGCAACCAAATCTAAAACTTGACCAAGTCATGTAATATTTCATTGACAAGACTCCAAACAAAGATGTCAAATTATTGTGAAATTCTTTCTTCCTTTTTGAGATCTCAGGGAGACATTTCAAAATCTAATGAGATCTGATAATGAAACAAGATTGTTCATAGTTTTAAATTTTATTTTGATTGGTAGATCATTTCACAGAAGTAGTCGAACAGTTTGGATTAGCATATTCAACAAGCATAGCCAAGTGATAAACTTACCACTTGGAAGAGGGTATTGTTGGACCTCAGCATTTTCTGATTTCTTCACAGTTTTTGTTTTAGGAAGAGACCCTGTTGATTTATAAGACAGTTTGCAATATTGAAAGCAGAAATTGTCTTTTTTTCCAAAATGCACAATACAGGTAGACCTAAACTTACAACCACAATTGAGCCCCAAATTTATGTTGCTAGCAAGGCAGTTGTTAAGTGAGTTTTGTTCCATTTCACGACCTTTTTCTCCACAGTTGTTAAGTGAATCACTGCAGGTTAATGAACCATCCAGTCATTAAGGAAATATGGCTTCCTCCATTAATTTGGCCTGTCGGAAGCCTGCTGGGAAAGTTATGAATGGTGATCACAAGACCCTAGCACAGTGCAGCTGTCATAAATACATGCCAGTTGCCAAGTGCCTGAATTTTGATCACATGACTGTGACGATACTACAACCCAGTGTGAAAAAACAGTTGTAAGCCACTTTTTCTAGTGCCGTTGCAAATTTGGTCACTAAACAAATAGTTGTAAGTCGAGGACTACCTGTAACAATTAATCTTTATATATATTATTTATTAGGATAATAGTAAGAACTATACTTTTCTCAGATGCTTGAGAGCCTTTAGTAGAGAAAAGAAACTGTAAAAAATTTTTTTAACTATAACTGCATGTTGTCTTTCATTGTATAAAAAGAGAAAAATACAGTATGATGTCATTACAATGGATTCCTCTTCTGAGATGCTTAGGTTTTGGGAAGGGGAAGGGTTTCCTTCGTTCTTTAAACTCATTTTTTCATATTTTAGTTAAATGGCAATATCCCATAAGGTACAGTAAAAACACAGTAAACAATACTATACCAAGGTGCGGATCAATTTTCCCTGAAGGCTGAGTTAATTGCAAAGGGTCTTTTTCTTCTATCTTTCTCTTTCCTTGGGATTTGTGCTGAGCCACAGTCTTTGGACTAATGGCAACTTTCTTTGTTTTGCGATGCTTGCCGAAATCCATATCTGAAAGCAAGGAGAAATACTGAGACTGACTGAGATTCTTGCCTACAATTGTGGAAATTTATCTCCAACCACATAGAAGGTAACGTCTTCCTTAGCAAAGGCAGATACATGCCACAAGATAAATCTTCTAAATGTGCTATCATCATTAACTCACATTTTCATCTTTGTATCAAGTGGCTGTCTTTAAATTAAACTTGAATTTTAGCTTGTACTCAAAATTACTTTCAATATGCTAGACATGTCCCAAGTACACTAATTTTAGTATGAACCACATTCAGCCAATTAGATACAACTTGGATTACTCCCACAATTCCCCATGTCTATTCTACCTATTATTCACAACTTCTCACTGTCTCCTATAAATTTCATTTTAAGGCCAGATGGCCTTAAAGGCTATTTTAAGGTCATAATGACAACATCTTATACCTTTAGGAAAGCTGCTCCAAATGGACTGAAGCTTGGAATACCTCTCCAAGTTGTACTCTTTGAAAAGGACTCTCCAGAAATCTTCTATGGAAGATAAATCCTGATTTAGCAACCATGTCAACATGGTATAAAAAGCCCTGTGGCAACCTTCAGTTTCCTTCAGGTGGAGAGTGTCCTTCAAGACAAAGAAAGGAAAAATGCAAAAATGGACCTAATTCTCAAATATATTTTATTCCTTCAAAATGCTTAACATGCAGTATTTATTATTTGTTGTAATCAATCTTCTTGAGTACTAGCTAATTAGGGATGGTAATAGTCTCAACATTTGAATATTCTATTTTATAAACAAAGTGAGAAATAATTTTGATGCAATTTATCTAATTTGCACATCACAAACTAAGACACAAAATTAAATTTTGATTATTGCTGAATTTTGCAGTATAATTTAAACCTGGCCTTAAAGTGCATATATTTTTAGGATGATTTTAACCTTAATATACAGTATACTAGATGTTTTATACATCTATGGTATTTAGATGTTCAAAAAGCTCCCCAAAGTCACTTCAAAACAAGATGAGCAGCAAATAAATAAATTAAATAAGAAGAGATTTCAGAAAATTTCATGCAAAAGGAATGTATATTGGGCAGAAAATCCAACTATAATGTAATAAATAGAACATAGTATAATACCTAATGAATATAGTATTTATACACTTAAGCACTTATTTGCAATATAATAAAGAAAGGGTTAAAATGAAATTTATTTTGGAAAAAAAATAGAAACTGAGGAAAATTGAATATGAGCTTTTTGGAATTATAAGTAATCTTGAAAGTGCTTTAGAAATTGAAGCAAAAGGCTAATACTGTAATGCTAAAAGAGTGGGGGAAATTTACCAGTACCCTCAGATGACTCTCTACCTAAACTAATGTCTTTAGACAGGCATTCCTTTGTAGTCATTTGCCGTTATTTCAAACTTTATCCATAAATTTTGGTGTATACATTTGGAGACAACACTTTCATTCATACTTTGATATTAAAAGTTAATATCCAGGCTATACAGTTTCAGACTCTGTTGATTTTTCAGCCTACCTGCCCAAATAAAAATTTATATAAAGTAGTCTGAAAAACCATCACATTTCAATAATTTGCACAGAATGAAACAGAAAATGCTGTAATGAAATATAAAAACACCAAAGTTAAAAAGTGAGAGATAGATCAGCAAAAGTGTAACTGAACATGGCTTTACACAATATTATATAAAATAAAACAGCATATATGCAAATTATTGTAACACATTAAAAATGAATGGCTTAAACGAAACAGATATATTCCGATATTATGTACTGAAAAGTTACATAGTACCCAGATTTTCCCCCTCTCACCTTGAACATCTCTTCAGTGACAATATCATGATCAGCAAGTCCATGAAGTAATGGGAAGACATCATCCACTGCCATCGAAATCTCTGTGCGATAAATCTTCAGTAATTTTCTCAAATCTCCTTCCCCTAATGCTCTATTGGAATTGAACATCCTGGAACAGAAACAAAAGGAGTAAACTAATCTTCCAAGTTTATTTTTGGATCAACTTTGCAGAAATCAAACCTTATTAACAATGCCGGAAGATAATTTAAACCCTAACCCTAACCCTAACCCAGTTTTGAGGTAAGATATTCTGAAGGATCATCACTTATTTTATGAACCTTTCTGCCAGCCCCACTGGCTTTGGAACATTAGACTTGCAAACATAGTTTGCAAAAAGATGATGTTTCTGCCTATAGTTTCTCTTTCCAATGACTCCTTGGTTGTTTTCATTTCTTTCAATATTTCTAAGTATTCAGCTTTGACATGCTTAGCCAGCTGTCCTAATAATCAAGAGATACCACATTGTTGGTCTCACCTCCTAAACGGCAATCAACACAATTCTGCTTTCTGTAGTTCCTTGTGCTCTTTATATTGCTCCATCTTGAAATAAGGATAGATGAGGAGGGAGGAGATGGTGTGTGGAACAAGAGCATTTGATTGAAGATACAAACAGAAACTCCGTAATAACACTCTGATGAATCTGAGAAATAAAAGCTCTCTCCAGTAAAGCCTATTTAGACTGCTTTATTATTTGAAATATCGTGTTTCTTTCACAGTGTTTCACTCCACCCTGTGCCATCTGCACACATTGTGTATTACCTTTCTTGACTGGAAAATGAGAAGGCTGTATGTACTGTGAATGGGGAAGTGCTGAGTCCCCACCCCATCCCACCCCTGGTCCCTTACAGTTTTGATTAAGGCTCCATACCTTGCATGAGAGACTTGCCAATTAAATTTTTTATGTTGCAAAGATATGGCTATAATCAGGAATGTAATAATATTGAGCTCCTATATTCATGTTGTTTGAGAAGTTATTGTCATAATTTAATTAAAATACACGTCAAGGAGGGCACGTCAAGAACAGTCAGAGCCTAAGGCAATCTTTTTTAGTCTATGATTTCCATACAAAATTGGAATTCTGGAGTTGTAGACCTCACACATTTGAAGGTACCAGAATAAGAAAAGTCAGTATAGGGAGAATATAATTAATTGGAAAGTGGCCTAAGAATAGCATTGAGTGGTTTATATCCCAAATGAAGATAAACTTGTCAGTACCGGTATATAGATAGATGTTGGCAGATGATCAGCAATATTTGAAGATTTGAAATATCTTTATAGTTGCCGATTAAAAATTTGTGATTGAACATTATAGTTTTAAAGAAAGCTAAATCTCTGTGTCTTTGGCAGTTTTTCAGCACCAAATGATGTTTTATTTCAGCTGACTTGGAAAAAATGTTTTGCTCAAGGAAGAAAGAAAAAAGAGATGCTAGACTTTTCAGATCTTTTCTATATTGTTTTAAATAATGTTGTTAAATTTAATAATAATGTAATGTAATGTTAAAGTTTTTTTGTTATAGTAATAAAATAATGTGGTTATTAAAGCTATTTGTTAATAATAAAATCCTAGGATGATCTGTGCATTGACTCATTTTTCAGAATTTCAATGGGCTTCCTCAAATTTTAGAGTTTTAGAAAAACCTAATGCTACTCTGTTGTTTCAATCCATAAAATCAGGTGACAGTTAAAAGCTGAGAGTTGTTCTTTTAAATGGTAATTCTGTGAGAATTGAATCAGAAACTGCATTTCATGCAAAATAAGTATACTATTACTCCCAAGTATGTAATTGGTTTCAAAACACTTTACATTATTCTTGATAAAATTTATGGACTTTCCATGGTATTTAATCATTAGATCTTCACTAAAATGAAGCTAGGAAAAGCCCACGATAATGATCCCCAAAGAAATAAAAGTAGACAACTCAAATCATCCTGAGGATTGCTGATGTTTTTTTTTTGATCCACAAATGTCCATTCTATTTTAGAAAAACTAACTTGGATAACTATTTTTAACAGTGAATTCCTTTTAACCTACTCTCCAGTAATGCTGTGTTATCTAATTCTCCATTCATTACGTTTAAGGTATATCATTTCTCTCTCTCACTAGAATACAGGAAGGTAAGTATTCTAAACACTCTCGGAATGAAACAAAGCATGGCTAGTTGGCGCTGTATCCCAGCTATTGAAAATGTGTTCATTTTTTCACATCTCTAAATCTAAAAACAAGAAAAAATGGATACATATTGACCTAGGTATTGATCCATACCTCCATTTTTAGAACTGTGCATACTTACCGTACATGAATATGTTTATTGTGGCATTGTACCTCACCCAAATTCATTAATGAAGTGGGAACTGCAAGAAACAGAAGTATAGACTATATTAAAATTTCATGTGCAATTAGAAATTCAGCTGAAATTGGCACTGGGAAAGACTTCGCTGAAAGCATTGAGGGCTGTTGCTAGTTAAGGATTGAATTCATTCACGATGGTTATCTATATTACTCATCTGATTCGTGCAAATTCAATTCACTATGTATAAACCATGATTGAGTTGATGCTACAAAGGAGCAGGGATCAACATTTCTTACACATATTGAATTACCATTCCCATAATCCTGATAGCCTGTGAATTATTGGCTTTATTGTGCTATATACAAAAATGGGAGAACTGTTATAGAAAATGCTGTTAAACCAATCTGCTTAAAGACAAGGCAATTTTGTATGAAGGATTTGGAAAAATAGTTGAGACAGTCATATAAATGTAAGGAAAGATGACCAATGAGGGCTTGGAATCCTCCTGGGTGGACAAAATCAAACCCCACCCTTCATTTTTGCATAAAAAAGTGCTCCTAACAAAAGGAGCTTTGTGAGTGAAATAGTCAGTTTCTAAATTTGATACCTAAAGCTAAATACATAAATGAAATTTAACAGAAATTTCAAAAAAGTTTCAGTTTATTTCTATAGTTGAGAACAAGCTAATAAACAAATGTATTTTTCATTAAAATAAAGCTTTGCCATCATTTCAAGGAACTGTGTTAGCAAAGAACTAGAAAAATACAGTCAAAATACTGTCATTCATCACTTCTACATGAAGTGTAAAGATTGCATTATAATTAACAATGATATATTGAGTTGTATACAATATGAACGGAACGTTTTATGTAAGCCCCAAATTTTATTCTCCTTATGCAGCACTGTGTATCTGGTAACCCTTTCTTTGGTAATCACCAGGCTCCATTATTTTGTTACTTTTTAATAAAGCTAAATGATAAACTGATTTATTACATAGTACCAGCCTTAAACTTACTTTCAAAACTGCCACATTGAGACTACAACTCAGTGCTATGAAGTATGCATGTGTACCCACAAAAAACTAAAGGCAAACCAAGATAGCAAAGGATATCTTAAGGGCTATAGGGAATGGTAGTTATGGTGGGAAGTAAATTTCATATATATTTTGCACAAGTACTTTTAGCATCTCAGAATTGCAAATATGACCCAAGCAAGTTAGCATTAGTGCTCTATTGAATAATGTGAATATGCATATTTAGAAAAATATGGATCGCTACAAGCATACTTTGGACAAAGAGTTCCTGTTCCCAAAAGCTGGACGTATTTTGTGTCAGTTGCAGATTTTGACTATACGCCGGAATGATTCAGCTGCTAATCAATGATGTGAACTTGGTATCAAAGATTATTCATATTTGCAATCCCAATTGGTTAGCAAATTCTGACCAGAAATCTGCATGGAATCTTGATTGATATGACCATGTATATTAAAAACTGCCTTATAAAGATTCTATACATTCAGGCCAAGCATCAAACTTCTCATTCTATTTCCATATAATAACAAAGAAGGATTAAGATAGGCCTCCTAAGTAGTTATGGGTCCCCTCAAAGGTAGGATTGGTTCCACCCAATCACTATTTCAATGTGGTGTAGACATCAATTATTATTATGCAGTGCAACCGTAGATTACAGAGACTGTTGTATCATAAGGATTTATTCTCTTCTTCCAGGATGTATGATGAATGCTTTCTATAATATCAGACCTAAAATAGGAAACAGCAGCAATCAGAGATGTTTATTCACATGACAGAATCAGTATTGGAAAGAGATTTGCAAGTTAGAAATCAAAACAGTAAAAAGAAAAAACTGCAAATGTTTGAGAAATTGTGTTCAATCTCCAGTTTCAACTTCAAAAAATTGACGATTGGTGGTGAGGCAATTGGCAATGAGGCCCAAAGATATTGGAAAATGATTCAATCATGGTTGGAACAAATGGTGGGAGACCAAATTTGGTTTAAACCAGAAATTTTTCTCCTAGGCGTAATACCAGAGGGGTTTAAGAAAAATGTACTCTATCTAATTATACATGTGCTAACTGCGGTGGCATAACTTTTGTGCAGTATTGGAAAAAATAAAATACACCATCAGAGCTAGATATAATCAGAAAAGTGTTGGCCTGTGCGGAAGCAGATAGGCTCACTCGTGAACTTAAAAATAAAGGGGAATCAGAATATTCTGAAGTCTGGAACAGATTTTATGATTGGTATAAGACAAGGTGACAAGACTGGAACAAACTGTATACATTGTGATTGGACAGAACAATAGATAATGCACTAAGTAGGCTAATAGTTAATGGTTGAGACTAATTGTGTATAATGTGAATGTATGGTCACTTCGACTGTGATGTACTGCATTGTTTTAAATGTAAAAATAATAAAAATATATTTCAAAAAAAAGTTGACAATTGGAACAGATACATCTTTCAATTAAAGTTAGATCAGGGAGATGCTGATTTTTAATATTCATAAAGGCCCCAAAGCTTTAATATATTGATGAAAAGCATAGCAGACAATCAGAATGCTGCTTTTAAGCAATTTTATTCTTGGCCAGAAAAAAAACTTCACTGTTTATAAAACAATTAAAACTGTTAATTGAGAGCATTTTTACATTTGTATGAAAACTGTCTTAGTCATGCAATTGATTATTCTGTAGCTGATCATGGTATTGCTCAAATAAGCTTAATACAAAGTTAAGATACTTGATCATCTTCCTTTAGCTGTAAAAGGTAGGTATGAAGGAATTAACCTAGGAGGCATACATTTCCCATTCTCAAGATTTCATTCTCAGTTTCCATTATTCTAAAGTGTTTATACTATATCCTATATAAAAACATCTCAAGTGATTTATTTTGTATATTCCTTAATCTTCAGGACTTTCAAAGAAAAAAATAAGGCCCATGACTCATTTCCCCCATTTACTCTATTAAGCTTCTCAACTAAGTCTGTTTTGTTTTCTTCTTCATAACACCAGAATCTGAGATCATCAGGTGAAGGTAAATGGTGGGAAATTCAAGAAGCTATTCCACATTATACACCACTTAATTTAATCATATAAATTCATTTTATAAAACAAGTCACTTTTTAGATAATTTTAAAGGATTCAAAACATTCTTGGGAGTATCAGAATATGAATAATTAGAAGTTACACGACTCTAAATACCAGACGTTAAGAGTAAAGCTTCATTCCCGATGACTATATAGTTTTCTAGGCATGTTTCCCATTGCCATTTTCCAGGATATGTTTATGCCTCTGAATTCCAGTATCTAAAGAACAATTTTAATAGGGGTTATTATCAACATACAGCACCTTATTTGGAGGCTTCCCAGAGGCACACAGTTAACCAATATGCTTAATTCCAACACTGCTTTTCTTAATTTTTTGTTGCTATTTTAGCATTCAAATTGATATTTTTCTTACAAAACAATTACATAACTAAAATCAGTTTGGACTCACTTAATCATATATTCACTTGTACTGTGTGTACTGTTTATTTTAGTAGTCATGTTGTTATAGGGGAATACATGGAAAATTTAATGCTAAAAATACAGAAAAAAGCTTTGATGTAAAACAAATAGCAATAGCACTTAGACTTATGTATCACTCCATAGTGCTAGTATAGAACTCTCTGAGCAGTTTACAAATATCAGCATATTGCCCCCAACAATCTGGATCCTCATTTTACCGACCTCAGAAGGATGGAAGGCTGAGTCAACCTTGAGCTGGTCAGGTTTGAACTTCTGGATGATGGCAGAGTTATCCTGCAGTACTGCATTCTAACCACTGTGCCACCACAGCTCTTGTAATGTATCTACCTAATTTATGCAGAATTATTGAATTCATTTGCTGCCTATCTCGCCCTGGGACTACGTTAGAATTATAAGGTAAAGATTTGAAACTATTTTAAGTTTTAAATCTTTAAAGAATCAACAATTAATATACAAAGTCAGTTGGTATGACTAAGTAGCTAGATATTTGTTGTTGCAAATATCAGTTTACACATTCAAAATTATCAGTCTGAGACTTTTTTCTTTAACCTTTAGGCAATTTCACCTTGTTATCATATTGTGTCTTACACATCTTACTTTTAACCTCAGATTTTTTTTACATAATTATCAGTTATTTAATTGCCAAGAATTCAGAAAAATGATAGCTGTCACCAGCACATCTGGAATCTAAAGCCATTGTTTAAAATTCCTGTTTTCTTCCAATAAGCTATCAAATTATCTACAAGAACTGGTTTGCCAATGTGTAGCGTCTCTTAACAACTACTTATCTACTAGGTCAAATAACATAACCTTTTGTGCAAACACCTAAAACCATTCAAATCTCAATGTATCAACTGCAAGTTATATATACTACATCTCTTAGGGCCAGACAGGTTTTTGTTTTCTTTTTCCTCTAGAAAATAACAGCACTTTCTGGATCACTGGGACCAATTATTATTTTTCCTTAAGGGACAGAGTTTTAGTTGTCATGGTTTGAGTTTGCAGTTTACTGTGATCCTCAATATTCCAATGTTACACAAAGACTATAAATTCTCTTCCTTTCAATAGCCATGTATAGCTTCTTAGGTTAATAAATTGGTCTTCCAATCTCCAGAGATGCAGAGCTGGAATACATTATTTAATTAATTTACTTTTCATTTTTTTTCTTTCTCAGACCTCCATATTATGTTTTTAGCAAAAGGTTTTTAGTATGCCTGGTCTGATTCAATTGCTGTA